TTCCTAATAATTTTACAACTCTTTACTGTTACCTATGTGCCTTTGAGCACATAGGTAACAGAAAAGAGTTGTAAAATAGTGTCTGATGGCACACTGCTGCATTGTGGCTGTATGTCACCTCCAACTCCAGCCCAGGTGTTTTTGAGTATTCTGTGAGTTATGAACAGTAGTCAAACATGGCTAAAGCTGCAGCAGGACCCCTGTTGCACAACTTGTCATTGCAATTATTAGTATTCTATTTATTTGCATTGGCAAAGCCAATAATTTATTACTGTCAATATTTTTTTCAGTCATTGTTAAAGTCTCTAGTAACCAGCAGGAAGTGAATATTGTTTAATATTTCTAAAATGTTTTCATATTACAGACATCTTAGGTTACATACTATCACAAATTGAGGCTCAGTGGTCAATCTCTGATACTACCACAGCACTGTGGTAAAACATGCATTCATATCTTCAAAAGGAAAATGCACACTATGTGAATTTCCTTTTTTCATTGCAGCATAAATGTCAACCAGAATCTGATGTTGAGCCATATTTTGTACATTTTAAGATGCCTGTTTTCATTTTTAAATTATTTTGTGCTTTTGCTCAATTTTGTATGCTTACCCTGATGCTGCTGCTGTTGCTAATGAATATATTTATCAGAGGAGAGATACCACAGGAAGCTGAAGTAGACATGCTAAACAGATCCAATTAATCTTTAAACTAGAAAGGAAAAGTTGCATTTCTATTTTCCAAAGGATTCTATGCATTTCCCATTAATTTCTCATTTTGCTAATCTTCACAGTGGTTAATTTTAGTCTATTTTATGAGATAATATCTTTCTATAATTGCCTAGTATATTTGACTTTAGTCTTCAAAGAGTCTGAGGTGTTTCTACCTTAGCTGGACTGGTATTTTATAGTTTTAGTCTAGAATTTTCATGTGCCACTTTGTCCCAAAATTTAGAACTTGCCCATAATGCTGAGATTAGACATAAATTGTAGTAACTTCCAGGACTTTTATCTCTCCCACATATATGCAAGAAAATATGGGGTATGTATGTGTGTTTGTGAGTGTGTGTGTGTGTGTGTGTGTGTGTGTGTATTCATACATACATACACATGAATATTACTCAGTTTTAAAGAAGAATGAAATTATGGCATTTGCCTTGCCAGTAAATGGATGGAACTAGATACTTTCATGCTAAGCAAAATAAGCCAGTCCCAAAAAACTAAAGGCCAAATGTTGTCTCTGATATGTCGATGCTAACACACAATAAGGAGAGGGGAGGTAGGACTAGAAGTTCATTGGATCAGACAAAGAGGAATGAAGGGACGGGATGGGGGTTGGGAATAGGAAAGACAGTAGAGGAAATCAGACATAACTTTCCTGTGATCACATTTGAATATACAACCAGTGTGACTCCTTATCATGGACAACCAAAAGAAGGGGATCCTAATTAGGATAAGTTACACTCTATGTGTGTATAATATGTCAAAACACACTCTACTGTCATGTATGTCTGAAAAGAACAAATTTAAAATATGAAAAAATAGACAATGGGCTGGGATTGTCAGTACTCACAGTTTTTCTTTTTTTAGGTATCAAGTCAAACTTTTAAACGGTTTTATTTTTGAAGGACATTCACTGAATGTTTTCCATGTGAGGAAAGGGGAGGTAGAAAAGAGATGATGTGAAGTTTAAGGTCCGTTTCTGAAAGCAGGCAGAATTTGTGTCCATTTGTCATCTCCCTGTGATTATTCTGAGTAATTTACCTGGTGTGGCCCCTACTGGCCATTCCTCTGCTGGTACTGACTGTGCTGATGTCTTCCACACACCCCTGCTCCCCTCCTGTCCTGACCAGGCAGAGAAGCCTGCTCATTCATCTGGGAAGAGACCCAGTACCGTCCCCTCTGGCCTTCCAGAGCCTTGCACTGTGCTTGCAGACCATCTCTTCAGTGGCTCCATAGGAAAACAAAAGGGGAGTGAAACCTTTTATTTGTTTGGTAGTTACCACATTAGAGGAAACAAACCATATCCCCTTTAGGTGATAAAGTTAATCTGGTAATATTCACTTAATTGTCAAAGAGAGACTTAGAGTGTGTGAGTTTCTCAAGGGCTGGCTATCATTCTCTTACATGCAGCTTTTTATAGCCATTGAAATAGACATCTCAGAGGAAGATGTAGATGCTTAGAATTTGGTGATAAGAGAATTATCATAGAGGTGCAAGTCCATGTCGCTTGAGACACAAATGACAGAATTGCTGAAGAAACAAAGAATACAGTGTACTTATATTCTAAATAAATAGAAGCTGAAAATGCTTCCTGACTTGAACAGCTAAGGTTAGAGACCAAAATTTTTGAAAAGGCCTCCAATAACTGTAGACCAAAAGAAATAAGCAAATATTTAGAGAATTGAAATGATAATATTGAAGTATATTTAATTGTAGAAAATTTTATTTCATTAAAGCACTTCGTGATTTGTAAGTAGCAAGTAGAAGTAACTGTTTTGTATAGGAACTTAATAATAATTGCATTTCTAAGTAGATAAAGGAACTTTGTTTGTTCAGTTACTTAGGCATGATGTTAATCTACCAGTGAAAGAGATACAAAATATCATAACCTGTCAATTCCATTTTTTCAGGGTGACATTTAAAGTAGATGTTTACATAATAGTTGATCCTAGGACATTGGGTAAATTAAACAGCTTTTTCTGTCTGCTTGGTGTAATTTCTAGAATGTGTAAGTCCCTTTCTATATTCTTTCAGCTTATTGAGAGATTTGTTCCTGTAACTTAAGACTTTTATTCTTTGTTCAGATTAAAAAAATTGAGACGGCTAATAATGTTTTATTGGTCATTGAAATATCAATGATAGAAACTCATAAGATCCATCCTAAAAACTGTTTCTTACAAAGAAAAATAGCAACAGAAGACGCTATAAGGACACTATCACACTATCCATCAAAATTTAAAATGCAGTCATGGTTTGACTGTTTAATCCCTCTTTGTGGAATAAGCCTTGCCCTACCCCATCCCTCCATGTGTACAAATAATATATATACAAGGTTGTTTTTTGCACTGTTGGTGATAAAAAAACAAATGAGGAACATCTCAAGCATTCATACAGGAAAGTGATTAACTCTGGCGTAGCCTCATAATTAAATACTACATAGCCATTTTTTAAAAATAAAGAGGCAGCTCTTTACATCCTGAGAAGGAAATGTTTCCAACTTATATTGTTAAGGGGGAAAAAGCAAGATGTATAACAACATATACAGAATGCTCTCTTTTTTATAGGAAAGGGGAAAAATAAAAAAAAACATACTTTTTTCATAAAACATTGGCAGGGTACTAGAGAAATTTTTAAGAGTAGTCATGAAGTTATGCAAAAGAAACAAGGGGGCAGATATGGAGGACTAGTTATGTTGCGGTAGTGTTTGGATTTTTCAATTGTGACTGTATTATCTTTTTTAAAAAAGATAACAATGACAGCATGATTAAAATTAAAAAAGGAGGGGCTGGGGTTGTGGCTCAATGGTAGAGTGCTTGCCTAGCATGTGGGAGGCACTGGATTCTATCTCCAGCATCACATAAAATTAAACAAATCATGTCCATCTATAATTAAAAATATTTTAAATTTTTTTTAATTAATAAAGGAGACAGTTTATCTCAAGTAAAGAGGCTGGCAGCTTTAAACACAAAATTTGCCTTGTCACTCTGTAGAAGGCTGGCTCTGAAGGGCTTCATTCACTTTAGAACTCAGTCATTCATGCAGAGGACTAACAGCATGAAGGAATTTTTTTGACATTCTGACCAAATGGTACTCATTCACATTTTACCTGTATATATTTTCCTATAGATGCCAGAGGAACAAGCTTTCTGTGTTTTGGTGAAAATCATGTATGACTATAAATTGCGAGACCTCTACAAAAACAACTTTGAAGATCTTCATTGCAAATTCTATCAGTTGGAAAGACTAATGCAGGTAAATAAAAATTAGGAACCTTTATCATTCAGATTTGTTATCAAAAAAGCCTAAYAGTGTTGATGAGCAATGATCAGTTCTAAGAGTTTAGTGAAACACTACTGAAAATGTAAATAGATTTGGTTTCTGACCAATATTTACATTGATCTTAATATCACAATGTATGTATTTAGCTACTTGACTATTTATAGTTTCATGTTTTAAATATTCAATTTTAATACACTTTGAAGTGAGATTATAGTGAGTTAATCCAGTGAGAAGAATGATGAATATTATTTGTAGAGAAATGAATATATATGCCAAATAAAAAATTCAAACAAATAAGATCTTTCTCCATACTAATTAGTACTACTACCATATTTGGATCTACAGAGGACACTTGGAAAAGACAGAAAGAAGTTGGTAAGAGAATAAAAAGCACCTGGAATACCATACTGTACGAACATAGTTTAATTTTCTTCCATATAATTTTTGTATCCCAAACATTGTTGTTGATGTGCCTCATAATAGTTTTTATAAATGTAGTTGTGTGAGAAACATTCTTTTATATGTATTAGATATTATAGAACAAAATGGTAAGCAGGGCAAAATTACTCACTAGAGTTGATAAATAGAGTTATTAGGTAGTTTTGAAATTCTACTCRCAATTGGAAATCTTAAATTTTTAATGGATCTATTCAGCATATTTGTATGACTTTCTAAAGGAGGTGTTGGGAGCCCAGAAAAATGTGAGGGAAATAAATGAATGGATTGATGTGTATGTGAGATAGCTGAGGAAGAAGAGTAGTGGAATGTGAGAATAGAAGATGCTGGTAGATGTTCATTGTCATGGCCTATCAGGAAATCCCCCGGTGTCTAAAAAGGACGGTGAAGCCAGCTGGAGACTGAAAGTCTGGAAGACCAGGGGAGTAAGAGACAGAGTTTACAGGGAAGTAGGGAGCAACTTTATTGAGAAGAGTCAAAGACCTTACATATGAAGAAGAAATGGAGAGAAAAACCTATCAAATGAGCCATAAGACCAATGATGGATGAGTGTGGAGGGGGAACGATTCTGGTATCTAGTAACAGTGGGCATTATAAAGAAATAGGTTCTTTTTTAAAGATTCAATTTTACCAAGTAAATATTGGAGTTACTTACTATTTACCTTTGTTTCACAGAAGTTTATTTTTCAAAGGTTAGTATTACTGAGGGCTTTGAAAATAACATGAATATATATAGTACTTGAAGAGCAAGTTTGTGATAGTATGAAGAAACTCAGCCTCTTTTATCTATTAGCACTTTTTACTTGTTAACTCTTGATGACCAATTGGAACCTTGGCATATTTGTTTTTCAGAGAGCATGTTATATAAAAATGCTTTATTTTGTTGTTGTGATCTCTTTATGAAAACAAAATGAACATAAATTTGTACATCCTTGCCTGTATTTTGGTTATTAAAATAGCTGATACTTTGTACTTGGGTTTCATGATTTTGAAAAGCATTTGCTTGTTTAACTTGGGAAGAAATTAAAGCTAGCATAAAGGCATGTTTGGGAGATATTCAGCTTTATGTGTTACACTTTGCACAATTTCACTTTGCCATTTTTGATATATTAAAAATAAGTTTTTACTATGTGGTTATGCTTTTGAACTTCCTAAGTGTTCAAAAATACATAGAAATGACATTATAGACCCTAGATGATGTTGATATTAGATGGTATCCAAAGAGACGTGTTTCTTTTCTGACCAGCTAAGAGGTGCACCTTGAATGGGGATGTTGTGTTGTGACCCTATGTCAAGATATTCTTAAGACTGTAGGTGTTTTGTCAGACCCAGCATTTCCCAAAAAATAAGAACACTCAACTGAGCAAGAGATGATCAGCTTTTTGTTTATAACAAGTCAATTATCTGTCATATGATCAGTTCTGTTATCACTTCTGTGTAGTTACTTAAAATGCAACCAATGCTGGAATACAGTGAAATTGACCACAGAAATCTTGCTATAAACTGCACATGTGGCAGGAAGTAAAACTTCTTCAGTGTTCCGCCTCCTAAGTTTTTCATTTTGACTTTTAGGAACAGCTCCCAGACCTGCACAGCCATTTTTGTGATCTGAATCTGGAGGCTCATATGTATGCATCCCAGTGGTTCCTCACTCTCTTTACTGCCAAGTTTCCGCTCTGTATGGTGTTCCACATCATTGACCTGCTGCTCTGTGAGGTAGGCTGAGCCCAGCTTTCATTACCAAGCCAAAATAGAAACCTGTTTCTATTTAAAATGGTTACAGTATGATATAAATCCATATCCGATGACAAAAAAAGCTCTATTGAAATATTTAGTAAAGATTTTTCTGTAATTTTATCATTTGTGCAGAATAAAAATAGTAAGGCATATACAATTCCACAAAGGAAGGAGAGGTGGTTAAATTTTATATCATTAAATACATATATCTGTGTAATAGTGTATTATCAACGTAACAGACTTTTAAAGTTAAATGAATTTTGAATGAGGTGTTTTAATATCAATGCAATTCTAATAGTAAATATAAGTGATATTTTTGYAGTAATTAATTCCTCTATTCATAAGATATATCTGTGTATGTATTTGAGGYTCCTGCCAGATGATGAGAAAAGTTTTAGGTCATATAACTATGTCTTTATTTTATTTTTTGAAGTGTCGGGGATTAAACCCAGGGCCTTGTGCTTGCTAAGCACATGTTCTATCACTAAGCTGTACCCTCGGCCCAGTTATACTTTTAAGCAGTAGAATAGTTCAGAACACAGTTTGTAAAATTACTTAGGTATTTGTTCATTTATTTTATTATTTTTAGTTCCTTAGGTGGCTATGATTATTTATTTTGTGTGTGTGTGGATGGTGCYGAGGTATTCTCTCCACCACTGATCCTTCCAGCCCTACTTTACTCTTTAAGAAATAAGTATTACACATTTTATATTTACCATCAAATGTTTGACAATTAGCATTATAGGCAAGTTACTGAGTGAGAAGTATGTGTTTCTTTCTTTTTWAAAAAAAAAAAAAACGAACTTGGTGACTTTCAAACCAATGTTAGCTATTTACCTTCACAGAAACTTTTGGCCAATGTACACATGGACATACATTTCATTCAGTCTAAAATGTTTTTATTAAGCTACTTATGTTCACAACTCAAAAGAATCATCTATTTTGTGTAGCTACCTTTTTAAAATTCAGAAGTTCAATCAACATGTATAGTGTGTAATACGTAAACACTTCATTGTCTAGAAATCATGTAAACTAAATAATTACTCTTCATTTTATAATTAAATGAACATGCCTGGTAAGAATATTACTAGTCAAGTTCAAATCAAGTCCTCTAGCTTAATATATACACACACACACACACACACACACACACACACACACACACGAGCGCTCCACCTCTGAGCCACACACAACCCCCCAGCCCAGTCTTCAAGGTCTTTGTTTAGCACTTGTGTAGTACCTGCAAGTTGTGGAGCACGTTGTAAGCATGTAAGATTTTGACTCATTTGTAGCATCTTTGATAAACAAGAGAGACCTGATGGGCTCTCAGAAGAGATTCTTGAATCATAAATATGTAACAGCTAGGGAAGCTGATTCGTAACACAATAATTTCCCTATTCATTTTACTTACAAATTAGTATGTAAAATGCCATTCTAAATTTAACCTAAAGGAAGAATGCAGAATTGAAGCTAAACCCTATTCAAAGTCAACATGGTATCATCWTAATTTACATGAAGCAAATTTAAACATTTGTACTAAAAATGCTATTTGACCTGTTTGTCCCAATTGGTGTGGTGATTAGTTCTGACTCACAAACKTTAGGGCAATATGCTTTAAAGGCAAAAACCATGTTTTTGGGTATTGTGAAAACTAATACTAAAAATTAGTCTTGATAAATAAGTCCTCGTGGACATTATTATATTGAGTTAAGGTTAGTATTTCATGACGTTTTGTAAAAACAAGAAATTGGGAAGTATGGCATTGTAATAGTTTCTGCATTCTATATAGTATGAGCTTGCAAATATTTGTTATCATTGCTTCATTTTTTCTGAGTTTATCTAATTTCATACTAGATTAGTTCTATGGTATTTATTATAGAAAAGGAAATGAAATTAATGTTCTTAATCATTCAGCTAAATTGGATTTTCCGATCACTTTTTGGTAGAGTGGTAATGCTGTGGTCTAGTTCACTGGAATGGTGACTTACTAAAGTTGTCTCTGCCTGGCAYCTGTTCATGGTTCTTCTAGAACCTAGATTCAGAATTGCTCAGGGAATTTCATCTTGAAGGTACTTAAATTTCTAATTTCAGTTGCTAAGAAAATTACAGAAAAGCAAACTAAATTCATAAGCCTTCCCATCACTTGTCAACTGTGATTCACAATCACAGTGGGAGAAGGATTTTAATGTTCATTAAAATTAATAAAAGCATCATAACTATTATTTTCCTTCCCCTTTAACCTGTTCTCTGTAGTAGTTAAGGAAGTTGCATAGCTTTCCAAAACATGGGGGTGGGTTTGTAATAACACCATCGTAATACCCAGAGAAATAACTGAGTGAAGTCAGTTTTCAAAATAAACTTTATTGGGAACAATGTTTTAGTATGCTCCAGGATGTTCGTTCTTTCCACTAACTTGTCTTTGTCAAGGGTTATTTTGCAAAGGAAATTTTGAATAAACTTTTACTTCCTGCCTGTGTTTTTTCTTTGCCCCTTTCCTTCTTTTAGTTAATAAAATATTTATATCACAAGCTATTCTTTCATATGTGATAGAATATTCTAAGAAATGGTAACATAGTCATAGATTGTCCTTTAGATGTTTGTTTTGTCATAATTTTCTCTCTTTAAGAAAACAACCAAATTTTGATGGTTTGAATCAATATTTAGTTGCAAATGGAAGGTTATGAAATTCTCAAATGGAAAGGTGTTGATTTTTCAAAGTTTATCATTTTGACAAAAATTATTGTTCTGCAAAGCCTTTTACCCAAGGATTCTACTTAAAGTAAAAAGGAAAGACCTTCCTTGGAGAGTTCMCTTCCAGAAGGCCTATTGTCATGGCGTGCTTTCCTACCTGCCTTATGTCCTTTTAAAGAGTTCTTTCATCTTTCATCCCCAGATTGAAAATATGAAGCTAATTTAGCAAGAAGGGAATAATTTTATAGATACTGACAATGCAGTCTCACTAAAAAAACCCAACTCCCCCCCCAAAAAAAACAACAGCAACAACAAAAAAAAAACCTCCTAGTTATTAATAGCTTTACCTAAAATGTTTACTTAAACTGGAATATATTGCAACTAGGGCTAATTCCTAAGTTTGGTGGAAGATGGATCACAAAAGAATTTGAAACTAGAGTTAAAAAATACATCCTCTTATATTAAGATGAATAGAACTCTCTGTAGATTGTCTTTAGCCAGTAATTGAAGTGAAAATCATTTTTTAAAAGTCTGTTTTATTTTCTGCCTCTATTTGGAGAGATAAGAAAAAAGCTAAATGTGTTAACATTTAAAGTGTAAATGTTGTGATGTTAAACTATGAAGAATAAAAACACYGAACTTTTAAAAATAATTTATTGAAGTATAACAGAATAAAAGAAAATATATAAAAATAGTATAAAACTTGAGAGTTTTTCACAAAAATGTACATATTAAGGTAACCAGCAACACCCACATCAAAAAAGCAGGATGTCATCTCATGTCAGAAGCCCGCCTTCACTACCCCTTTTTAGTAACTACCTCTCTGAAGAAAGATCACTATTCTTTTAACACCATAGATCAGTTTTGCTTGTTGTTAAACTTTATGTACATGCARTTTTGGAATATGTATGTTTTTCTGTTTTATTCCTCATATTTGTGAGATTTATCCTTATTGTTGCATCTTCCCTTGGCTTATTTGTTCCATTGTGTGACTATACTATACTTTATCCATTCTTCCATTCTCTTGTCGACAGACATTTGAATCGTTTCCAGCTTAAGGCTGCTACCAACATTCTTGAACTTACTTTTGGTGAATATAGATGTGTATTTTTGTGGGTACCTGAGAGTGGAATTGCTGGATTGGGATGTGCACATGTTCAGCTTGAGGAGATAGAGCCAAACAACTCTACAAAATATCAAGACTATTTCTTTTTAAAAGTTTTTTTTTTTTTTCTTAATGCAGTAAAGGTCTTTCTTTCTTGTGGTCAAAGACAGGCTTTATTTTGTTTTTAAAAGTAGATACTGGGTCAGACTATAGTTCATGAATATACAATGGAATGAAACTCATTTGGTGATAAAAGTGATTCACTTGATGTCTGAAGCTGCATACAGAAGAGCTGGCCAAGAGCTGGATTGCTTTGTGTTTATCCTGATGGGGAAAATATATCACAGTGTTCAGTTTTAGAAGAAGCAGTATGGAAACAGGTATAACAAGGGAATTAAGATATTGGCCTTTTTAAGTCAAGTCTTCTTGGATCATCATTTTGAAGTTAGTTGTTGTATATGTAAGTTTCAGTGTCTTTATTTGTAAAATGAACCAGCAATACCTATCTTTCATGTTTTGTGTAAGAACTGAGACTGTGATATAAAATGCTTGGCATTATGCCTAATTATCAATTAATAAGAATATTTTTCTGAATGGTGTTTATCTGTATAGCCCTTCTAGTTACTTCTCACTTTTTTTCTGACTGGCTTTCTATTCACCTTTTCCCCTCTAGTTGAGATACTTCTTTGTTGAAAGCAAAATTTTAGCCAGTGACCTTAATGGAAGTTGTATTCTTTCTCAGCAGTGTTTCAAATAATTCTCTAAAAAAAAAWTTTTTTCCCCTTTCCCTTCACCTTCTCACAAAACACATGAGGAAAACTCCAGTATTTCTCTGAGTCTTGACAGGATAACTGACAGCTGGTGTTTGAAGTTGACTCTTCCCAGATAGTTCAATTCTTAGATTACCAAATATATTCAGCTTTATATAGTAACTTGGCATTTAATGAAATTGACCCTTTAAGTTATAGTGTATCTCCCTGTGTTTCCTTTTTTAGGATGATGGGGGGAAAAAAACATTTCTACATTGTTTGATTAGATACCACCAGGTATATTTCCCCTTTCAAGGCAGGTTTCTGAACTTATCTGCAGAGTTGATTCATTATATAATATTCTCCCTTTATACCACCAATTTTCYCTAAAACTTCATCAGAATGAGCTGATATAAGGAAGATTAAAACCTCTC